GAATCATATATTATCAAGAATCAATTCAATACATGAGAGTTTACAAATGTTACATCATCCCCAACAACAAATAGAGTTTAGTTCACCATTGACATGGTGAAACTAGATGAACAATGGAAAAAGAATGAAAGATAAAACCCTAAAAATTGAAGGTAGGAGCTTCCGCATCCAAATCTGCCTCCGAGGAAGTAAGGAGTGTGTTTCTAAGCCTATTTCGTCCAATGATGTGAACCCTAGGACGTCCAAGTCCTTAAATAGAACATAAAAATAACATAAAATGGGTCCAAGCCCACAAGACTGACGCTCAACGCCCCACTTATGGAGCCCAGCGGCGTGTGGGTCAGAATTAACGCTTAAGGTTAGCTCAGAGGGCAAGCAAGCATGGTGCGAGTCGAGGAAGTTGCGCTCAACACCCCTGAAAAGGGCGCGCGGGCGCGAGCCAAGGGTATCCTATGCTGAGGGCTCCAGAAAAGGGCATCCAAGCATGAGACAGCGTACTCTGGCGTTGAGGGCCCTAAAGTGACGCTCAACGCTGCTGCGATCCTTCTTTCTTGATGCTTTTCCATCCCTTCCTGAGTTCCAACTCCTTACTATTTCAACTCTTCTTCCAAATCATCTCAATTACTGTTGAAAACACTGAAATCTAGCACAAGACCATTAAATTCACCTTCAACTCTCTTTATTCATCAAAACTATGATTCCAAGCTAGTTTCTAACTCAAAAAGGGTGTTTATAGTCTCAAAATAAGTATCAAATAACAATAAATTCAACCGTTATCACAACCCCAAACTTAGATCTTTGCTTGTCCTCAAGCAAACAAAATGTAACTTGGCTTTCAAACAATCAATACAATGGTTTCAACACCTTTCAAAACCTTTTCTTTCAAGACAAGTAATTGTTCAAATCAGCTTATCATAAAGAATATCAGTCAAGATGAATAAATGCCTTGATTCAATTAAGCTCATTGTGGAGCTCACATACTCACAAAATGTTCAACAGATGCTATACTCATGACTGATCAACCAAGCAAAGATGTAATCATGCATACATGGAACTACTCCTCACCAAGAAAAAGTGTTTCTCTCAGACACATAGGTGTATATAGAGGTGACTCATTCATTCTACTATCAGAATGTCACATAAATCAACTTTGCCTTTCATTTAACCACAATCAATCAAACTCACAAGCAAGTATCATCAAAAGGGCTTTTCTATGGCTTGTAATGTGGCTGGGCTAAGAAGAAAATTGGTTTTTTCGGATCAAAAAATCCTTGAGTTAAGAGAGTTATTCATAATTTCATCATTTACACACAATCTCTCTTTTTCAAGAAACCATTCTCACTTCTTCCCAACTTTCCCTTGCATTGAGCTTTTCTTTCTTTTCTTTTCTTTTTCTTTTGCTTTTCATTTCCTCAACACTTAGATTAATGCTTATTCTTTTCCAAATTTCCCAACAACCCCAAACTTGAACCTTTATCAATACCGCACAAAATATTCTCTACTTAACTCAAGGTAAAGATTTTCAAAAATGGTTTTCATACTATGTTCAAAGCTAAAGGTTCAAAGGATAGAACACATTGTGCTCTCTTTTATTGGGCTAAAATCATGCATTGGCTAAAAAGGGATAACAACAGATGGCCTTGATCATATGACACGTGCAAGCAAGTGATTCAATCATAGAAACCTGGGCAAAGTCATTCATGCTTTCAAAGTAATAACAATCATTCACAAACACTCTGGAGTCCAATCCTCACCCAGGCTAATTCAAGTTCCAACATTCAGATAAACATCTTGCTCAGTAACACAATCACAAATCATCATGCATCAGTTTCACAATATTGTGAGCAACCACCTGTATATCATCATCATGCATAATCTCAACATCAATAACTATAATCAACATCATGAAGCAACACTCAAAACAAACATCATCATCATCAAACCATTGCATACAGATAAAGTTCTAAGCCAAGTATATCACATAATAGAAGCAAAATATAGTTCGAAACAAAATGAATAAAGTTAGAAAACTGGGTTGCTTCCCAGTAAGCGCTTGTTTAACGTCACGAGCCTAACCCAATAAACTCAAAGATCAACCAACTCCATGATTGTAGTAAGGCGTTCAACCTCACCACTCAAATACTTCTTTTTGGATCTTCAGTATACGGATTTGTCAACTCAATTGCTCCATGCGGATGAACATTCTTCACTATAAATGGACCAGACCACTTATACTTCAACTTCACAAGAAAGAGCTTTAAGCGTGAGTTAAACAATAACACCTGCTGTCCTGGATGAAAAACCCTTTTTACCAGCTTCCTGTCATGATAAAATTTTACCTTTTCTTTGTAATTCCTAGAGGAATCATAAGCATGCAACAACATCTCTTCAAGCTCAAGGATTTGCCTTCTTCTCCTATCATTAGTGTCAAATGGATCAAAATTTAAGAACTTCAAAGCCCACAAGCTCGATGTTCCATCTCCACTGTAGATGACATGCTTTTCCATAGACTAACTGAAAAGGAGATAGCCCTATAGTTGTCTTCATTATCGTCCTGTATGCCCAAAGAGCGTCATCTAGCTTTTGAGACCAATCCTTCCTTGATGAAGCAACCGTTTTCTCCAGAATCCTCTTTATTTCCCTATTAGACACCTCTGCTTGTCCATTTGTCCGTGGATGATAAGGTGCAGCCACCTTATGTTTCACGCCATAGTGCTTGAGTACCTTTGCAAGCTGACAGTTGCAAAAACGAGATCCTCCATCATTAATGAGTATCCTGGGAGTTCCACACTTGGCAAAATTTGTCTTTTCAAAAAATTAATTACAATGCTAGCATCATTCTTGGGACACGCCATAGCTTCTACCCATTTACTCACATAATCTACCGCCACCAATATAAATTCATTATTGAAAGACGGCGGAAAAGGTCCAACAAAATCTATCCCCCAACAATCAAAGACTTCAACTTCCAAGATACCTTGTAATGGCATTTCATGTCTTCTAGAGATGCTTCCAGTTCTCTGACATTTATCACAATTTCTGGCATGATTATGAGCATCTTTAAACAAAGTGGGCTAATAAAATCTTGAATAAAAACAAATCATCCCAGATAAATTGTTTTACATCATGCAAAAACTTTTTCTTCTGTTGACAATTAAAATCTTCTGGAATTACTCTCGCAGCTTTAAAATTAGTCATATCAACAAACCATGGCCTTTGTAGAATATACAAAAGTGTTTCATCTGACCATTCACTAACCGGGATAGATGATCAGCAATCACATTCTCACTCCCTTTCTTGTCACGGATTTCCACATCAAACTCTTGCAGTAAAAGTACCCATCTAATCAAATGCGATTTAGAGTCAGGTTTAGTTAGTAAATACTTTATAGCTGCATGATCCGTGTAGATGATCACCTTAAACCCAATGAGATAAGGTCAAAATTTTTCCAAGGCATATACTATAGCAAGAAATTCCTTTTCTGTGGTAGCATAATTCAACTGAGCTTCATTCAAGACTTTGCTAGCATAATAGATGGTGTGAAAAACCTTCTCCCTTCGCTGGCCAAGTACAACACCTATAGCATAATCACTGACATCACACATTAACTCAAAGTCTTGATTCCAATCTGAAGCTACAATAAGTGGCGCAGAGACAAGCTTCTTCTTTAGAATCTCAAAAGCTTTCATGCATTCATCATCCATTACAAAAGGCACATCTTTGACAAGGAGATTGCTTAAGGGTTTAGCAATCTTTGAAAAATCTTTAATGAATCTTCGATAAAACCCAGCATGGCCCAAAAAGCTTCTAATTCCTTTCCCATTTGTTGATGGTGGAAGTTTCTCAATAACCTCCACTTTGGCTCGATCAACTTCAATTCCCCTGGAAGAAATCTTATGACCCAAAACAATTCCTTCAGTCACCATAAAATGACATTTTTCCCAATTAAGCGCAAGATTTGTTTGGACACATCTCCTAAGCACAATATCCAAGTTAGCCAAGCACACATGAAAAGAATCACCAAACACTGAAAAATCATCCATAAAGACTTCAATGCATTTTTGTATGAGATATGCAAAGATTGCCTGCATACACCTCTAAAACGTAGCCGAAGCATTACATAATCCAAATGGAATTTTTCTGTAAGCAAATACACCAAATGGACATGTAAAAGCCATCTTTTCCTGGTCCTTTGGATCTACCACAATCTGATTGTACCCAGAATATCCATCCAAAAAATAATAAAAAGCCTGACCTGCCAATCTTTCCAACATCTGGTCCATAAAAGGAAGAGGAAAATGATCCTTCCTTGTAGCCTTATTCAGCTTTCCATAATCAATTCACATCCTCCACCCAGTAACTGTCCTAGTAGGAATGAGCTCATTTTTCTCATTATAAATTATTGTCATTCCACCTTTCTTTGGCACTACCTGTATTGGACTTACCCACGCACTGTCAGAGATAGGATAAATAATGTCAGCCTCCAAAAGCTTCAAAACTTATTTTCTCACCTTCTCCTTCATCACATGATTTAGTCTTCTCTGTGGTTGAGCAACTGGTCTATAATCATCCTCCATAAATATTTTGTGCATGCAATAAGTCGGGGTTATACCTTTGAGATCCATAATTGACCATCCAATAGCTCCTTTGTTGGCTTTCAACACTTCTACCAACTTTTCTTCTTCTATGAGAGATAGAGAATTACTAATGATGACCAGTTTCTTCCCATCTTCTTCTAAGAAAACATACTTTAAATGTGGTGGTAACACTTTCAACTCCAGTTTCTTTTCCTTGACCTCTTCCTTGGTATCAATCTTCTCAAAATTTGCCTCATGCAATGGAAGTTCTTTTAACACCTCCAGGTCATTCAAGCACTCATCAATTAGTTCTTCTTCCTCTTCATTCAAATCTTCACATGCATCAATGAGCGTCTTCTCTAAAGTAGAAGAACAACTTACCATCTTCTCTTGCACCATACAAACTTCATCAAGTGTGTCAAACTAGAAATATGCTTTATCATCCTTGGGATGTGACATGGCTTCAAACACATCAAAATTCACTTCTTCATCTTGAACTCTTACTTTAAGCTTGCCATTCTCCACATCAATTAAGACTCTTGCAGTCTTCATAAATGGTCTCCCAAGAATGAGAGGCACATTCACATCTGATGACAACTTTATGAACACCGAAAAACAGTGCCACAAACTTGTTTAACAATCGGCAAGTGTGACTGAATCGTATCAAGTAATAAAACTCGGTAAGACCAAGTATCGTTCTCCCAAAGGACTCATGGCCTAGTTAGTTATTTGATTTGTTGATTATTTAAGACTTGTGAACAATTGATTGTAGGTTTTAAATGCAAAAGACAGTAATTAAACATGTATGCATGAATTTGATCAATGGAAAAGAGGAAAACAAACACTTTAATGAATTAAATGGATGAGTATGTTGTTGGAGTTATCAATTTCATCTTGTTCACTCTCATATACTTTAGGAATTCATCATTCTTTTCATCAATTGCTAATGCCACTCTCTAAATCACCTTGCAAGAAGGCCTATCCTTAATTACGAGTTCATACAATTCCTAGCATTCCTAGTAATTAGTTCTGAAGTGCAGGAGCTTAAAGGCAACCAATATGCTATTGGGAGAAATTCCCCGGATCTAGATTTCTCCGTACGTTCCCATATCGACAAAATCAATAATCATGGGAATGAATGAGTTAAACAAAGCAAGCATTAAGCAAAGAGGAAAAACCCTAACTAAAGATGAAAGAAAGCATATATCTTAAAATAAGATGTTAAAACAAATTCCATATATGAGAGTTTCACAAGACTACATTGATTCCCCAACAACAATACAAAGTTTAGTTCACCATATTCATGGTGAAACTAGATGAACAATAATGAAAGAATGAAAGATAAAACCCTAGAAAGATGAGGAGGTAGCCTGAGCATCCAAGATCTTCCTTCAAGGGGTGGAAAAGAGAGTGTTTGCTTCGTCTCAGCCAAAGATACAAACCCTAGGACGTCCTAAAGCTTATATACTATTCTAAAATTACCGGAAATTAAGCCCAAGCCCAAAAATAGTGCCGCTCAACGGTAAGTGCGTGAGTTGTTTTCTTCCCCTCAGCGGCCAAATCACCCCTCAGCGGATCCAACGTGACTGCTTGAGTGCCGCTCAGCGGTAAACTGCCGCTGAGCGGTAGTTGCGGCTTCTCCTTTTGCACTTTTTGATGTCTTTTCTGATTCCATCTCTATCCTTCTTCACTTCTTTCACCAAATTCACCTTAAAACCTGCACAAAAACACTGAAATCAAGCATAAACCTGTCCAGCTCTCTTATTTCTAAAAATATGACCAAAAACATGATTTCAAGCTAGTTTCTAAGTGTTAAAGGTTGCTTTTAGTATCAATTTTAAGCATGAAAATAACAGTTTTTCAACTATTATCAACATCCTCCTCCATCTCCATGATAACAAAATCCACAGGAAATAGAAACTTGTCTACCTTCACAAGCACGTCTTCAACTACCCCATAAGGATATTTCAGAGATCTATCTGCTAGTTGAAGAGTCATTCGAGTAGGCTTGAGTTCCAAACCTTCAATCTTCTTAAACATAGAGAGCGACATTAGATTAATACTGACTCCCAAATCAATTAATGCCCTTCCAACAGATATATTTCCTATAGTGCAAGGAATGGTGAAACTTCCTAGATCTTTTAACTTGGGAGGTAAAAGCTTTTGTATGATAGCACTGCAGTTTCCTTGTACTACAATGGTTTCCTCTTCAATGTATTTCCTTTTCTTAGTAAGGAATTCCTTCAAAAATTTAGCATATGAAGACATTTGTTGCAAAGCTTCAGAGAAGGGTATGTTAATCTCCCATTTCTTGAAAATCTCCATGAAATGCTCAAACTGTGTTTCCTTCTCCTTCCTAGAATAATTCTTCGGGTAAGGAAGAGGTTTTTCATATAATTCTTTCTTTTTTTCTCATTCTCTTCCTCTCTCTTTTTTCTTTTCTTCTCTCTCACTTTCTTCTTTTTCTTTCTCTTCGTCTACATCTTTCTCTTTTTCACTCAACATTTCTTTTTCTTTTCTCTCTATTTTTCTCTCATCTAAAATTCTACCACTTCTAGTAACAACGACTTTGCATTCCTCTCTAGGGTTAATTTTCATATTACCCCTAAAATCTTCCACCTTCTAAACTAAATGACCAATCTGCATCCCATCCTTTTGAGTGTTGCTTCAATGTTATTATGATGAGATACAAATATCTGCATCAACTGTTGAAGCGTGTCATCTAGCTTTGCAATTCTTTCTGTAAGAGAGGTTTGTTGTTGCCATTAAGGCTGTTGTTGTGGTCCATTGAATTTCTCAGCAAGTTTCCCAAACTAACTTTGTCCCATGCTTAGATGAGGTAACCACCCATGGTTGAAAGTACCTTGGTGGAATTGAGTGCCCATATAGTTAACTTCTTGTCTGAATTGCATCCTGCATGCGCTGAACACAAAACCCTAGAAAAAATTGTTAGCACAAAACAAAAGATCAAAAAAATCAAGTCAAAGCTATTTAATAATCACACAAGTGTACCGAATCATATCAAGTAACTTGTTAAGACTCTAGCAAGTGTACCGAATCATATCAAGTAATAAACATGGTAAGACCAAGTATCGTTTCCCTAGAGACTCACGGCCTAAACAATTATGTGATTTCTTGATTAAATAAGACTTCAAAATAAACTCTTTTAGGTTTAAAATACAAATACTGAAAAGTAAATATGCATGCAATTTGATCAATTGGACAAAAGTGCAAAGATGAACGTTTTTGATATTATGGAATGAATATGTTGTTAGGGTTAGATTTCACCTAGTTTACTCTCATGTATATATGAATTCTAGTTCTTCATTAATGTTAATGTCACTATCCAAAATACCTAAAACCTGATTCCTCGGCGAAGAAAGCCTATCCTTAACTATTAGTTCATACGATTTTTAGCATTCCTAATAATTAATTCTGAAGAACAGAAGCTTAAGACAACTAGAACTCATACCCCCATTCCTGAGCAATGCTACTTCTGGGAATAATTCTCTGGATCATGAATTGTAAGATATCTTTCGGTACTCATACAAATCATACATCATGCTAAAGAATGAGTTAAACAAAGCAAGTATTACGCAAAGAAGAATTACCCTAACAATTAATGAAAGAAGCATATATAATCAAGAATCAATTCAATACATGAGAGTTTACAAAGGTTACATCATCCCCAACAACAAATAGAGTTTAGTTCACCATTGACATGGTGAGACTAGATGAACAATGGAAAAAGAATGAAAGATACAACCGTAAAAATTGAAGATAGGAGCTTTCGCATCCAAATCCGCCTCCGAGGAAGCAAAAAGTTTGTTTCTGAGCCTATTTCATCCAAATATGTGAAGCCTAGGACGTCCAAGTCCTTAAATAGAGCATAAAATTAACAAAAAACGGGTCCAAGCCCACAAGACTGATGCTTAGCGCCCTACTTATGGCGCCCAGTGGTGTGCGAGTCAGAATTGACGCTCAAGGTCAGCTCAAAGGGCAAGCAAGCGTGGTGCGACTCGAGGAAGTTGCGCTCAACGCCCCTGAAAAGGGCGCTCGGGCGCGAGCCAGGGGTATCCTGTGCTGAGGGCTCCAGAAAAGGGCAGTCAAGCGTGAGATAGCGTACTCTGGCGCTGAGAGCCCCTAAAGTGGCGCTCAGCGCTGTTGTGATCCTTCTTTCTTAATGCTTTTCCATCCCTTCCTGAGTTCCAACTCCTTACTATTTCAACTCTTCTTCCAAATCATCTCAATTTCTATTGAAAACACTGAAATGTAGCACAAAACCATTAAATTCACCTTCAACTCTCTTTATTCATCAAAACTATGATTCCAAGCTAGTTTCTAAGTCAAAAAAGGTGTTTTTAGTATCAAAATTAAGTATCAAATAACGGTAAATTCAACCGTTATCAGCATGACTACGAGACTCCTGTGCTGAGGGCCCAGAGGAGGGCACCCAAGCGTCCTGCGACCTTTAGCAGCCTTCTCTTCTGGTGCTCTTTCTATCCTTTCTAAGTTCCAACTTCTTAACATTTAACTCCTCTTCCAATTCATCCTAGTTTCCTACAAAATCAAGGGACTTTAGTGATAAAATCTTCAAGTATAACCTCAACTCTCTTATTCACCAAAATAAGCTAAAAACAAGAGAACAAGCAAGCTTCTAAGTCAAAAAGGGTTAATTAATTATCCAAATTTAATCCCAAATAACGGTGAAATCAACTGTTATCAACAGGCGTTGAGGCTGGTTCAACAAATGAAGAAAAACCCAACCCATAAATTGGAGATATAGTTCTTGTGTTTGAACATGGAAAATAAAGTTCGTCAAACTTGGCATGTCTAGGTTGAGGGATCCAAACATTGAAATCTTTTATTGTTTCTGTTGTATCCAAGAAAAATACAAGGTGAGACAATTTGTTAGTGGTATAGTCACGAAGACAAGGATAAACCCGACAACCAAAAGGATGAAAGTGTGCATAATTGGGAGGAGTATTATATAAGGTCTCAAATGGAGAAACACCATTTAGAAGAGTGGTAGGTAACCGATTGATGACATAGACAGCATAACAAAAAGCATGTAACCAATAGTGAGTAAGGAGATGTGAATGGAAAAACATTACAAGTCCCATTTCAGTGATGTGACGATGTTTATGTTCAGCTCTACCATTTTGGGTGGGTGTATGAGGGTAGGACTTAAGATGAAGAATTCCATTTTCGTGTAACAAGGTTTGGACTTTGTTGTTTGTGAATTCGGTGCCACCATCACTTTGGAATGTTTTTATAGATGTATTGAATTGATTTTCAACAAATTTCTTGAACTAAACAAATACATCATAAAAATCAGATTTTAGGCACATTGGACATAACCAAGTGAATATGGAATGGTCATCAGTAAAAATCACATAATATCGAAAACCAGATTTTGAACAAATGGGATCAAGTCCCCATAAATCACAATGAACTAAATCCAGCACATGCGATGCGCGTTTCTCATTTAGGGAATAAGGTAGTCTTTTGCTTTTAGCTAATTCAAGGAGCCATAAATAGATGGAGTTGATAAAATGGAAGATAAAGACAAAAGACCTTTTTTTCTTAAATGGGAAATAGTATCAAAGTGAACATGACCCAAACGATAATGCCACAATTCAAATGATCCTCATAGCTTATTGGAGTTTAAAACAGAAACAAAAGCACTATGACCATGCTCTAATACATATAAGTTGTGTTCACACCTCCCTTTTGCCAGAATTTGGAAAACTCCCTAACAGTGGATGAGCCTTTTGTGAGGTGCAAAAGTTGATCTCTAATCCCGATTTCTCGTTGGTTGGAGTCACCACCATAGAGGGATTCAAGAGTAGTTCAGATATGCTCTGCAGTGTCACAATGCAGTACCTCAACTAGAATCTCTTCAGTAAGAGAGGCCTGAAGGAGACTTACAAGTCTTTGATCTTGTTGTTTCCAAGTGATAAAGGCTGGATTAGCAGCCGTCAAAGATCCATCAGCAGTAGGCAATTTCGCAGGAGGAGTTGTGACTGAGCCATCGATATGACCATAGAGGGTTTGTCCTTCGAGAAGAGGAAGGAGCTGACGACGCTATAGAATGAAATTGGTTTAGGTAAGGCATATGTTTAGCATGTGGATCATGGTGTTGAATGAAAAAGCACCATCAGAGGAAAGAGTAATATTAGTCATGGGGAAGAAAAGAAAAGAAAGAAGGGTGATGAAAGATCGAGGTTAGGCTGATACCATGTAAAGATTGCTGCAAATGTGTTTTTTTTATTTAGAAAGAATAACCAACGTACACTATATAGACTATACAAAATATCTTGATCCTACAATTAAAGAAAGAATATATCAATTATTCAAGACATAATCAATTATGTAAAAAGCTAATAAGGTAAATTGCAATAAATATATTATTAGAATGTATTATTAATTGGACTTATATGTTCTAAAATTGATAAAAGATGAATCAATTGCGACTTTTGTTTGTTATGATTGTTCTAGGTACTTAAAGGATTAATTAATTATACTTATCTACTTGATTTTTACAACATAGTTTTCGTATATGAACAGATTTTGTTTAATCATATTTTATTTTCCATTTTTTATGTACCGGCTAGTTTTGGTGCTGGAAAATTTTATATATAATTGGGTTTTGGCTTAAGTTTCTTTGTGGGTTTTGAAATTGGGTTCATAGTTGCCTTTATTATTTTTCTTCCTGGTTTAATTCTAAAGTCATGGATACTACGGAAGTGTTGACTTTCCTTTATTTTGATCCTTGAATTGATTCATCACTATGTCTATGTTAGTTTTATATGCAAAGCTAATAAATAGAATCTAAATCATGTTGCTAGAAACTTGTAAGTCTAATTCTCTTCTTGACAATGATTTAACTGTATGCTAATTATTTGGACAGTTTTAAAATTTAATTTTCTCTCTATATTCATTATTAATCATTTTAAACCTAATTATCATTATACACATAATTATGAAAATAATTATAATAATAACAATTTATATTTCGTACACAACTTAAAATAATTATTTAAGTTAAACCACTCTATTTTATTATTTATTTTAATATTTAAAAATTAAAAATTAAAATTATATTCAACACTTTCTATTATATATTTTAATTTTAATTTTTTATTTTAAATTTATCCTTTTCCTTCATTTTAAAATTATTTGAAAAATAAAATAAAAGTTCGACAAAGAAGATGGACCACTGTCCCATGGTATGAACTCGAACTTAATAAATTTGGAAGACATTATTGGGAAGAAGGTATATTGGGAAAAGAATCATAACCAAAATTTGTAAATAAACAAAT